AAGATTGCGAGTGGCTCAGTCTCGACATAAGAGTTATGCCGACAATCGCCGTAGAGATTTGAGTTTTGAAGAAGGAGACTATGTGTATCTTCGTGTCACGCCTCTTTGAGGAGTTCATCGTTTTCACACCAAGGGAAAATTGGCACCGCGTTTTGTGGGACCTTATAAGATTGTCAGTAGAAGAGGAGAAGTTGCTTATCAGTTGGAGTTACCTCAATCTTTGGCAGGAGTCCATAATGTGTTCCATGTGTCGCAATTGAAGAAATGTTTAAGGGTACCTACTGAAGAAGCTAATCTTGAACAAATAGAAGTCCAAGAGGATCTGACTTATGTGGAGAAACCAATCCGTATCCTGGAAACAAATGAGAGAAGAACCCGGAATCGAGTTATTCGTTTCTGCAAAGTCCAGTGGAGTAATCACTCGGAAGAAGAATCAACTTGGGAACGAGAAGATGAATTGAAGTCAGCTCATCCGCTTCTGTTCGCCAGTTCTTCCGAATCTCGAGGACGAGATTCTGTTTAAGGGGGTAGGTTTGTCACACCCTGAAAATTCAAAATATATAAATTGTTGTTTAAATGGAATTTCTAGAATTTATTTTAAAAAAGTCTTGAAGAGAAGATCTAGTTTTAATTAATAAATTCCAATATAAAAAGGGGCCAGATAAAATTTCATTAAATACTTTGCTTAATTCTATAATTCCTAGATTTTTCTGGGATTTATTTGAGCTAAGGAAGTATTTTTAATAATGGAATTGCATTTAAGAAATAATTTAAATTAAAAAGGTTTTAAAAGTCTCTTTTGGCTTTGGGCCGAAAGTCGGCCCAAAACCTCTCTTCTCTCTCCTCGGCCCAGCCGGCCCAGTCAGCCGCCGCGCGCGCGCCCTCGCTGCCGCTGACAGGTGGGGTCCACTTGTCAGGCCCGTCGTCTTCCTCGGGCTGAAACCCTAGCGCGCCGTCGCCGAGCCGCCGCCGCTGTTTCCTTCCGATCCGGCCGTTCCTTTCCTTCTCCGGCCGAATCAATAGAGGGGAAATGATCTCCGGGATCTCCTCTACCTTTTCTCCTTTGGAATCTTTGGTTAAATCGCTTTGGAAAGCGTCGGAGACGAGTTCGATTCGGATCGGTTTTCCCTCTCTCCAAGCCAAAGGTTTCCTTCGCCGTTGCCGTCGCCGTGGGCCTTCGCCGCCGCCTCCGAGCCCCTTTAAAAGGACCCCCGGTGTCTCCTCTACCCGTCGCAGCCCTCGCCTTCGCCTCTCGTCGCCGGAAGAGCCTTAGCGCCGTGTGCCCTAGCTTCGCCGTCGCCGCCGCCGCTTCAGCCGTGCTCCGCCGTCGCTCCAGCTGTCGCCGCCGCTCGGGAAGACCGCCGTCGTCATCGCCAAGTCGCCGCCGTCCTCGTCCGCCCCTTCGCAGCCGTCGGAACCCGCCGGAGCTTCATCGCCGTCGACAACCCGGAGGTAGCCGCCGCTTCCTTCTCGTCGCCGTCGCCGTCCGTTGCTTCTCCGCCGTCGTTTTGGTCGTCGGTGTGTTCGCCGTGCCGTCCGCTTCCCGTTGGTGTCCTCCGTTCGTGCCGTAGCGCCGCCGTTCGCCGGTGAGCGTGCGCCGCCCGAGCCGTCCGCTCCGCCGAGCCGCCGCCGCCGTCGGTGACGTCATCGCTGGCGTCATCAAGGCCGTCCGCCGTGAACCGCCATGGACCCGATCGATCTCGGCCGTCCATCTTGGATCGGTTAGATCTCGGCCGTCCGTTCGCGTGAACCGCCGCCCATGCGCCGGTCCACCCAAACCCTAGCCCGCTGACGCAATAATCCTTCTTTTCCTTTTCAAAAATAATTTATTATTGCGTCATAATTCAATTTAAACCGATTTAAGTGTTTAATCCGATTTAATCTTTAAAAATTCATAACTAATTCATCTTAGCTCCGATTTAGTTGGTTCAAGTCTCTAATTTTTTCTAAAATTGAGATCTATACATTAAAAATATCCACATGTACTGTTCATGCTTGTTTATGTGCTGTTTTGGTGATTTTGCTCTTTTCTGCTTAGATTCCGTCGTTTCCGGAGAGTCCGTTTTCGCAGAAGAAGAGTTTGAAGAGTTCCAAGGCCAGCAAGGCAAGTCACACAGATCCCAAACAACCCTTTGAGCATGTTGATCCTATTTAAAGCTATTGTTTCTATTCAACTATTGCATCTATTTTCGAATGTCATTGGGTGGAATTGACCTATTCTTTGTTATGGCCCTTTTGTACATTGATTACCTTATTCCTTGATACCTTGGGTTATTACAATTTGACTAGTTGAGCTTTATTTATATTGGTTCAACTAGATATTAGATATAATTGCTTAGCCCTGCTTAGAAACATTAGTACACATTCGGGATAACTAATGATTCACTATTATTTCATGATGGCTTATTGATAGTTCACGATGGTCAATCGTGATTAGTTAATTAATTAATGTGCCAACTAAAACCTGGTAATGGTGGGTTGTGAGCACATGGTTTTGATGGTCGTGCTCATGACAATTAAGGACCGGTTCACGAGTTTCGGTTGTGAAACATTAACCGTGCCAACCACAAGCCAGCATGGGCAACGGCTTTATCTTTTGTATAGCATGGTTCATTGCGGGGCACCAGACTGAGAAGTGGCGGAGATAAGCCCACGGGGGTCGCTGGGGAGTCCATGCCTTGTTTATAAGGGGGTGATTATGATCCAGGAAGGTGCGCTGCAATGGATTGTGTTATGCGAGGGGTATTGTCACAACTCCTTTCCGAGATACCGTGGTGGTATTGAGGCACATGGTGACATGATGTGGGGTTGTGTCTTGTGGGTACAGTGGTACACCTCTGGCCAGAGTAAAACTATTCGAATAGCCGTGCCCGCGGTTATGGGCGGGTCTAACAATGTCTTTCGTGATTAGTCTCACACCTCTCATCATTGTAAAAGATGCTTAAACTGGTAATAATCTGATTAGCTCCTGGTTTGGAATGGTATATTCCTGGTTTGGAGATAGAACTGTGCAGCCGGGGTGGTTGTTCAGAATGGTTGGGCCTATACAACAGGGTATGTTGTATAGCGTTGGATTAATATTGTTTAATTACTTAACTGTTTTATCAAATTCTCAAATGTTTGCTAAATGCTGCTTTTGCAAATACAACCATATTATGCCATCCTTTGTTATCCTGTGCACTTGCATATTTGCTGCGTGGCTTGCTGAGTATGTCATATACTCACCTTGCAATCATTCATCAGAGGAAGAGTTCTACAATGAGGCTGATGGTGTGGAGGATTAGGTGTAGCCTTGGTCAAGCTGCCTGTGGAGTGGAGCCGTCTGCGCCGTTTATTTATTTTCCGCTGCTTAGAACTTTATTGATTGAGAGGAACTATCTACCTCTGTAATGACATTCTATTCGCTTATTAATTAGAGTAATATTTGTACTCTATTATCAATTTGTTATTGTGTGCCTCGGCTGATTCCTGGACGAGGGTTCACACACATGTAAGCGTTTGGAATTTTGGATAGAAATTCCGGGCGTGACAAAAATTCACAAAAAATTTAAAAAAAATAAAAAATTTTGGCCGAAATGATATCGTATCGGAGGGGGGTCCGAAATGACCGAAATCGGAAATTTCAGTCCAAAATTTTGAACCCTGTTTCTGATAAGGAGAAAAAAGGTTATATATAGCGCCATAGCAGTCTAGAAAGCCCAACAGCAAAAACATGGGCCAAGATGAACTGATACACCGCACAGCCCAAGCAAACCACTGGACAGCCCATATAGTTCCTCCCCTCACGTGCCTGCCGAGATAGAGGAGCGGAGGTGTCCACTGTCCAGTGGCGAGGAGGGGAACAGCCACACTGACTTAGGGTGTGTTCTTTTGTTGGTGTTGGGAAGAAATTCTCTCCGCACGAAAAACGGAGCGACTCATTAGTATATAATTAATTAAGTATTTACTAATTTTTTTTAAAAAAAATAGATTAATATGATTTTTCAAAGTAACTTTCGTATAGAAACTTTTTAAAAAAACATACTGTTTAGCAGTTTGAAAAACGTGCGCACGAAAAAAGAGAGATGTAAGTTGGGAAAGTAGAATGAAGAACTCACCCTTTAATGGTGGAGAAGGTGACGATGACACGAGGTGATCTGGATCAAGCTATGGTAGCAATGAATCGATGGAGAGAGCCCGTCTACGACAGCCAGGCGGCTCGACCCGGTAGTAAATGAAGTTTGGGGTCTCAGGGGCAGTGGCACCAGAACAACCACAGCTAGAGTCGTAGATTGACGGGAAGAGGAACCGGTGGTTGTGATGCAAAAACAGTTGGAGGCAAAATCACATGAATTTCTTACTGACCTGTTTCATGATCATGCTCCATAACCTGGGCAAACGCTTTGCATGAACGGGCCACCTAATGCCCACTTCTATACATATTATGTCCTTTTTTTCACATGTCAAATTAGGTATTCACAAATTTTTAATTATGTTAATTTGGCATAACAGTGAGTATTTTACTAGCTGATATATATTCCAAATATGCACCGCTAGCTTTATTATACAAGCTTATTATTTGTCTCCAGGCTTTAACAAATCCGCTTATTTTCTGATATCATTACTTATTTGATATCTCAAAACAGGCATGGCCTACCACATCTTTGAAAAACTTGGCAGTGTTAAAGTTAGCCAACACCTAGAAAGACCAAAGCTAAGGACTGGCAGTACACGAGGCGTTTGCATGCGATTCGATATGATCTGTACCGAACACTGTAGCAAGCCAAGTATATATAATACTTTGAACTCGATTCCCATGGCGTTGCGTGGTGTTTTGCGTCAATTAAAGAATAATTGATGTTGCTTCTTCCATGAATATATCACCGATCCCGATCCATGCATGTGTATAAATATGGCCTGTTGGCTCTAGCTAGCTACTCCATCCACCAATAATTAAGCTGAGCGCAAGTCTCTCGCTTACTAGCTATTTCCAAAGAAGAAGAGCTAATTGAGCTCTAGAGATGGACCAGAGCGCGGTGAGCTCGCTGCTGGGGCAGCTTACCGGCCTCCTCGTTGACGAGGCGAAGCTACTCGGCGGCGTCCGGGGCGACGTGCAATTCATCAAGGACGAGATGGAGAGCATGCAAGGCTTCCTCCTGGATGCCGCCGATGCCGCCAACAACAACAGCAGCAGCCAGCAGGTCCTGGCATGGCAGCGGCAGGTCCGGGAGGTCGCCTACGACTCCCAGAAATGCATCGACCACTACGTGCAGACGGTGGGCGCCAGCCGCCCGTCGGCCGGCCTCCTCGGCTCCGTCCAGTGGCTGCCGCAGCTGGTGATGACGTTGCCAAGCCGCCAGCGCACCGCCAACAAGATCAAGAAGCTCAAGGCCCGCGCGCGCGAGGTGGGGGAGCGGCGGCAGAGGTACGGCGTCAAAGCTCCGACTCGGAGCGGCGGCGTCAAGGTCATCACCGCGCCGATGCTCTCGCCGCAGCAGGAGGCGGCGGAGCACGCGCGGAGGCGCCGTGCCATAGCTGACGCCACCGACTGGGTGAACACCGACGCGCAGCACGTGATGGACTGGATAGCGGCCGGCGGCAAAGGACACAACGACGATGATGGTGGCCGGGAGGAGTACATACATTGGATCAAAGGCTTCCTGCACATGCCCCACTTCACCACCGAGAGCTTCTTGACGGAGCTCATGAGCAACAAGGCCGATGCTACCGCCTTCTTGCTGGAGTACACCAAAGAGTTGTTCGGAGGGCCGCTCCACTATTTGGAAGGGCATTTGTTGTGGCCACATAAAGATGATGGGCATGATAAGAAGGCCACGACGGCAGCGGCATCATCCCCTTCTCAAGACCACCACGATGCTGACAAAAAGAAGCCAGTAGCAGCTGCTGATCCGTCAGAGAGGGCCAAAGAAGCAGCTGTTGATCCGTCTGGGAAGGCGAAGGAGCACAAGCGTTGGATCACCCAAGGGGAGAAGAAAGCGGCGGACACGTCAACCTCTTCAGAAGTCCATGATTCTGCTGAGAAGAGGATGCCTTTAGCAGATGTTAATCCGTCGGAGATGGCGGAAGCATCATCAGCTGATGATGGACATAACAAGGCAACGGAAGGCCATACCAAAGAGTTGTTCGGAGGGCCGCTCCACTATTTGAAAGGGCATTTGTTGTGGCCACATAAAGATGATGGGCATGATAAGAAGGCCACGACGGCAGCGGCATCATCCCCTTCTCAAGACCACCACGATGCTGACAAAAAGAAGCCAGTAGCAGCTGCTGATCCGTCAGAGAGGGCCAAAGAGGAGAAGAAGCACCAGATCATCAGTTGGGTACATGGAGCACTTACGAGCGACGGCATCAACATATTTCACACGAAAGATACCCACGGCCCAAGGCTCCTCGCCATTGTTACATCACCGGTTCGTCGCGAGGCCCACGACCTCGAAGACGAAGAACCACATGGGCTCAGGCCTGCAACAGAGATCGCACGTAGGGTGTTCAATAATTATTATTCCCGCCAAGGCGGCCGCTTCGACTTTGCCGTGTGGGTCAACGCCGAGGAACACTCACATAGCACCGCCAGGCTTCGGAGCATACTCCAGCAGGTGGAGAAGCAGGCGCAGGTGCAGCCTCAGGAGCAGCGGCAGCATCCATCATCTTCTTCTCGCGATAAAAAAGACGGTGGTGACGAGACGACAAGATTGCAACAGGAGATCCTAAAGCACCTGACAGGGAAGAAGTTCTTGATTTTTCTTGCTGACCACCAGGACGAAACACCATGGACACAGATACTACCTGCTCTGCCGACTGATAGCACCAATGAAAGTGCAGTCATATTGAGTCCTCTGGTGCAGCAAGCATACCAGTACGTTGGGTGGTACGTGCTCAGCCTTTTCTTCTTGCTAAAGCACTCCCGCTATAGAGTCTACTTCTACTCTCATCTTGTTGCAACACGGAACAAGGCCAAAGAGTTGCTGCGGGTTGGCGCCGATCAACACAAAGGAGAAGATTTGCATGACCTCGTCAATCATATATTGGAACGTTGTCGCTGGGATTCATTTTCCAGCAAGATGTTTCTTCATGCTCTTTATGCTAATCATCAAAGGAGCAAGCCAGAGCTGGAGAACTTGTTGCTTTCTCTGAATGAATTCAGCACGGTGAGCAATGCCAGAAACATGATCAAATTTTGCTACGATGACCTGCACAGTTACAAGGTTTGCTTCCAGTACCTGTCCATTTTCCCCTTGGGATTCAAGATCAGGAGGACAAGCTTGGTCAGGCGATGGGCTGCAGAAGGCCTTATCGTGGGAAGAGACGGGCTAGCTGCAACGGATGAAGCTGAGCGCTGCTTCGATGCCATGATTGATCGAGGCCTTCTCCTTCCTGCCGACAACACCGACAACCCTTCAGGCAAAGTGAAGATGTGCACGGTCGATCCACATGTTTTCTCCTTCATTGCCAGGTTGCACAAAGACGATGGCCGTGCTCCAGCTGCTGATAGCATCGACCTGCCGCCCGCCCTGGCTCATCGCATCTCCATTGCCAGAAGAATTCAACTCTCCAACAAGACACGACAACGAGTCAGCGAGGGTTTGAAGAAGCAGATGGACGGCGGTGGCGAGCCACAAGACTCTGTCGCACAAGGCATGGTCTGTGGAATTCAACTTTCCAACAAGACACGACGACGACAAGCCAGTGAGGGGTTGAAGAAGAAGATGGACAGCAATGGGGAGCCACTAGTCCCAGAGCCAAGATCGCAAGACTCTGCAGTGGAAGACGTGGTAAAGCTTCTTGACTTGTTTCCTACAACTGAATCAGGATGGATCAAAGTGCTAGACCTTGAAGGCTGCCGTGGACTGAAGAAGAAGCACCTCAAGAACATCTGCAACAGGGTATTCCAGCTCAAGTATCTGAGCTTAAGGAACACAGACATTGCTGAGCTGCCCAAGGAAATTAACAAGCTCCAAGACCTGGAGACATTTGACATGAGGGGAACCAACATAGAATCCTTCCCTGCAAAATCCATTGTTCTCCCAAAGCTGGCGCGACTGCTTTCTGGTGTTGCTCACACCGACGCTCCAACTCCAAGTAAGGATGATAATCTTACAAGTAGAGGATCTTCTCATGAATCATTTACTGCAATCCATATTCCCCGTGGAATCAAGAACATGACAAGCATGCAGATACTATCCCATGTCCAAGTTTCTGACCATCACGACGAGGCTGCAGCACTGGAAGATTTAGCCCGGCTGCAGCTGCTATGGAAGCTTGGTGTTGTTATCCATGCCAAGCAAGCTTACCTTGTGCTCAAAGTGGTTGGGATGCTAAATGAATGCCTGAGGTCTTTGTCAATCCGTCTCCAAGATGGTGGAGAGGATCCTGATCTGAACAACACACCACCAATATTCTCACCTCCAAGATCTCTTGCAAGCCTTAGCATCAGTGGCAGGATAGGTGGCCTGCCTACTTGGATCCAAAATCTGGAACAACTCTCTGACATAACTCTGTGCGACACCTCCTTGAAAGACTCTGATATAAAGATCTTGTGTGCTAGTATCAACCTGCGCTTCATCAGGCTCTTGCGTGAGTCGTACAACCAGAACAAGCTCAGTTTTGAAAAGGGATTCAGAAACCTTGAGATTCTCATCATTGAGGGATCAGGCACCATCTCTGATGTCCATTTTGATCCGAGAGTGGCACCTAAGCTTGAGAAGATTGTCTGGAGCTCCACCTGCAAGATGGAAAATCTTGGGATCGACAACCTTCAAGGACTGAAAGAGATTGTGCTCAAAGGCGACTGTGACCTGAATCGCATCAGGCTATCCGTCAAAGCGAATCCATGCCATCCTAACCTTACACACACTCCAACTCTCAACTCTCCAACAATCCAACCCGGTGAGGACACTGCAGCTGCAACCAGCACTTCGGCAACAAACAAGTAGATGTTTTTGCGTGCGCTTCTCTTAATTCCTGGCTTTCGCATTTGTGTGGTTATTTGTTCTTTGTTCAGAGTGTGATTACTTGGTGTTTTTTTGTTATTCTGCTGTGTGTGATATGATTTGATTGGCTACTGCAAATGTAATTCAGGTGATGTGATTAATGATACCTGTTAAATAAGTTGTGTGATACTAGGCTGAGTATACATGTTCTATGGTTTTATAGGTAGCTAATCTTTAAAACATTTTTTTCTTCAGACTAAAGATGAGGTGTTACAGCCTGAACCTACTTTGTTTCATATATATATACTGTTAGAGTACAGGATAGTTAGAGTCCCAAGCTTCTTGAGAGCCTAAGTATCCATGGTTACACACATAAGGGTCAGCTTCTTGCATTGTTGGCCGAAGGTCTTAATAAACTTGCCAAGGTTACTTTGAGTAGCACCTCATTGAACCAAGACAATTTGAAGGTTCTCGGTGAGTTGTCTAGCTTATGCTATTTCAGGCTCAGACACAATGGATACACAGGTGAAAAACTCACCTTCAAGAAGGATGAATTCAAAAATCTCAAGTCTTTTCTTGTTGAGGACCCCAGCATGATCAGCATCGAATTTCAGAAGGGAGCAGCTGCAGAGCTCGAGAAGATTGTATTCTCCTCCACCAACATAAAGTCTCTTCATAGGCTTGGAGGCCTTCCAAAATTGAAAGAGCCTGAGTTGAAGAGCAACAGGTTCCTTGTTTCATTCTCTGAAGAGGGAGAAACTCATAAGAAATGTTCTCTAGCAAGCTCACCTTCAAGAAGAATGAATTCCAACAGCTCAAGTACCTCCTTGTTGAGGGACTGTTGACACCAGATTTTGGTAATCTACTTGGAGAAGAAGGAGAAAACCGATGCGGAGTTGATGACAAAATTCGAGTCGGATTGATGCTGTTGACTGCGTATCGGCTGGCGTCGTATCAGCCAGGCTGCGTATCGGCTAGAGACGGTATCGACCGATATGGTTTTGATAGCGATCGGCCGATACAGGCAGAGGGCCGATGAAGGTAAAGTTGGGCTTGATTTGGGCCTAGATCAGGATTCATTGGAGATTGCCGATGAGTTCTCGGAGCTAATTCCGCCACATTATATAATGCAGTAGAATTGGGGGCATGTGTTGACACCAGATTTTGGTAATCTACTCGAAGAAGAAGAAGAAACTGACGCGGAGTTGATGACAAGATTTGAGTCGGATTGATGCTGTTGACTGTGTATCGGCTGGCGTCGTGTCGGCCAGGCTGCGTGTAACACCCCAGCCCAAGGCATAATAGGATTGATAGGATACTCATGCTAACAAGTTGCAACTTCTTTTTCGGAAGCTCATCTCCAAAGAACACTAAAGTTAAGCGTGCTTGACCTAGAGAAATCTAGGGATGGGTGACCGACTGGGAAGTCTTTCCCGGGTGCGCACGAGTGAGGACAAAGTGCGCAGAAAAGACTGGTGTTGGTTTGTGAGGGCAGTCTATGTCCTATTTAAGCCGCTAGATGTAAGCGGGCCCGGCCTCGTGGAGGCGGGACGTTACACTGCGTATCGGTTGGAGACTGTATCGGCCGATACGGGCAAAGGGCTGATAAAGGTAAAGTTGGGCTCGGTTTGGGCCTAGATCAGGATTCATTAGAGATTGCCGTATAGGGATTGTAACGCCCGTTTTGTCGTGGCGTTAACGGGAAAACCTATTTCTTAAAAACTCTACTTGTAAAAGTTTTGCTCTTCAGTCGTGTCTTGTCGTGTGCCTTGGTCTCGTATTTCCCTTCCCGTCTCAATCCCGGAGAAAACCGCGAAATCGGAATTCAAATCCGAACACTAATCCTTCCAATCCAATTCTCAGAGGAAGTCTGCTTTACCTCCTTCCTTCTCGGGCCGTTTCCCTCTCGGCCAGCTTTCCTTCCCCTTTTTTTTATCCCGGGCCGCTCCCGGCCCAGTCCCCTCTCCCCTCTCCTTCGGCCTGCTCTCCCTTCTTCTCCTCCCTCTCGGGCCGCCGCACGGCCCAGCCGCTCGTGCGGCCTCCTTCCTCCCGCTAGGCCGCGCCGCTCGGCCCGGTCCGCGTGGCCCGAGCGTGAGGCGCGTCGCGCACGTGCGCCGCACGCCCGCGCGAGAGAGCGGACGCTCTCTCTCTCCTCCCCGCGCCGTTTCTCCCTCTTTCTCTCTCCCTCTCCGTTTCGTCGCCGGCGACCGCCTCCACCCGGCCCCGCCGTCCTGCGCGCGTGCCGCCAAGGGAGCACGTGCCCTCTCTTTTCTCCCCCGCGCGCCCCTGCCCGAAGCGGCAAGGAGGCCACCCTCCTTTCCTCCCCCTTTTTCGCCCCTTTCCCCGACCGGCCGACGTCACCGTGCTGCCGCCGTCTTGGCCGCTAGCGCGCCGGTCCCCTCTCCGCACGAACCGCCTCTTGGCCGCACCGACCTCCGCCCCCAAACCGACTTGCTCTCGCCGTCCCCTTTAAATCCCTCCGCCCGGCTGCCATTGCCGCCTTCCCCACCGAGCTCCTCTCCCCTCCAACCCGCCGCGCCGCGCCGCCCTTGCTGTCCGCCGCTGCAGCCAAGGATGCGGGAAGAGGTGTTGATGCAAGAAACACACACTGGCCTGGGAGATCTGCTTAGCTCCAGTGCAGGTCCAAATCTTGGTGAGATGCGGGTGTGCCAGTCAGTTTGGTCCTGCAACTGACAAGATATACAAACGACAGATCAAAGAACCGATCGGCCAACATAGCCGATGTAGTAATTCCAGCCGATCCTGATAACAGCCGATAGCGATAGGGTTTTGAGCCATCGGCTATGTGTTCAATGTAGATTCTGACACTTGACAAAGAGACAATCGGCTGATGATAATATGCATTAGATCGGCAATGACTTGATAAAGTGAAACGAAAGTTAGACATACTTGATCGGCTGTAGATATCAATGATACATAATCTAAATCTCAAAATATATTTAAACCAAGTGATTGGGATAGATCGAACAGGGCACCGAGACAGTATAAATCACTTATGTCTAAAAACATCTCAAGAGAGAGATTATATATATTCATAGCATAGCCGATGAAGTGAATCTAACATAGATCCAATGCCATAAAATCCACAAGATTAGATTAAACAGTGAAACCTTTATTGTCATCGGCTAAATTCAACTTATATGCAATCCTTATAAGCCGATGCAACGTCCAGATAACTCATCGGCTGAAACCCCGATGAAACCCTTATCGGCAATCAAAAAGCAGGCTAGAGATTCATGATTCTAAGCACGACTTAGTAGGTCAAACTCAACTGATGCAGCACTAAGTATGTAAAGAAACACGGTATCTAGATGATCAAGCCCTTGACTGATTTTCAGGGTGGTAGATGCCTAAGCTAATCTAATCTAGCAAGACGATTTAGTCGATACCGGCAGAAACCCTAAAACGAGAAGCAGCCGACAAAGCTAAATCGAGATGCTAAAACTAGATTAACAGAAGACATATGATAAATAGCCAGGCAAATATATTATCCAAACCAGAGCAATCCAAGAGGTCGAATGTACTGATGCAGCCTTGAACGACGCCGATGTAGATGATACGATTGCCTGAACCGACGGAACATTGGACTTACCCCTTCGCCGGAGATCGACAGCCGATGCAGCCCCGCGTCAGGTGCCAAATTCCACCGGTTGATAAATAAACCGTAACAGAGTAAAAGGTGGCGATGCGCCGAATTGTATTGATCGAGAGTTGATCGATTACAATAACCCCGGGTGTACATATTTATACCCATGGGGAGATACTAGTCCTTGTAGGACAAGAAAGAAACTTTCCTAAAGATAAAAGAAAAAACATAAAGTCCTTAAGGGACACTAAACATACTCTCCTAAAGATAAAAGGAAACTAACAAATATTCTAATTAATAGATACAATTGCCTTCTTCGGACTCAATCCGCACGTGGCAATCCTCATGAAGCACACCAACCGAACCCGACAATGATCCTGCCATCCCCTTATCGGAATCGGCTACATCGGCTATCCTTGTCCGATTCTGTTTCAGCCGACGCACACTGTAGCCGATTTGGCTTGCAGCCGATTCATACTCTGTTTTCTGTAATCGCTTATCTCCTCCAATCGGCTTCGGCTTTAACTCTGAATCCAATGCATGATTTACCAAATTTCGTCGTTAACAAGAAGACCCCGGCCCCGTCTCCTTCCCCTCTCTTCCTCGGCCGGTGCCGTGCCGCACCGCCTCGCGCCGTCGGCCTCTTCCCCGGCGAGCTCCCCTCCTCCGCGGTAACCTCCTTCCCCCTCCCCCGTCTCTCCCTTTCTCCTCGGCTTAGGCACCCGGTATATCCGTAGAACCCGCCTCCCCGCGCCGCCGTGGCCGTCGCCCTCTCCTCCGGCCCCTCCCCGCGCCACCGTTGCCGCCGCCGCCCCGCACCGTCGTCAGCCGCCGTCGCGCCCCGTGGTTCGATCCGAGCCATTGGCTCGCTTCCCCTTCTCCTCCTCTAGCCACCGGTGCTCGCTTTTCCCTCTGTCTCGCCGCCATTCGCCGGAGCAAGCCCCTCACCGTAGCGCCGCCGAGAGCCGTCCACTCCCGGGCGGGCTCATCCCTCTTCCCCCTTTTCTTCTACCCGCCGGCCTCCGTGGCAGCCACGTAGGCGCCACACGAGCGCCGACGGCCTCGCCTCCTCCGTGCGCCCGGTTCACGCGCACCGGGTCGCTGCCGGGCGGGTCCCACCCTAGCACCCGCTCGGTGGACCACGGTCCACCGATCCAGCCGTCCACGTGGGCCGCGGCTTGCATCGGCCCACTCGGCCGCCTTCCTCTGGTCCATCGGCCTCCTCCCCCGATCGGCCTCGGCCTTCGGCCGCTCGGCCCACTCGGCCTCCGTTCCTCCTTGGTCCGGCCTAGTCGGCCCCGAGTCACTCGGGAGGCCGGACCAGGCCGCGCCACTCGGCCATGGGCCGTTTCACTCGGGCGTCGGCCCATCCGTTCGGCCATGCCCGCGCCAAATCCTTTGGGCCGCACCTAGCCACCCAAAATAAAAGTCCAATTCACGTCCCTCCTTTCTTTTTCCTTTTATTTTTCAAGGGAATTAATAATTCCTTTTCCTTTAGACAGAAAATCATTTAATCTTAGGAAATTCATATCTTCTCAACCGTTCGTCCGATTGACTCCGTTCAATTTTCAAAATTCCTCAAAAATCGAGATCTATCCAATGGCATGCTTAGTGGTCTTTAATAGGGCTTCTTTTTATCGTTGTTTTAAGTCGCCTCGTTTCACGTGTAGTTTCGGAGCCAGAAGACCCGCAGTGTGCGGATTTCGAAGAAGAAGCTCAAGATCTCGAGCAAGGCAAGTCACCTTTGATCAATTGAACCTAGAATTTTGGATTTAAGTATTTTGTTTCCGCAAACTATGCATTCCTAGGATTACACTGGACACTTGGCCTCGGTTTGCAATATAGCCGGCAGGCCCCACCCAATTGCTGCATTCACCTTCCTTGATTATTGAACACCCTAATACCCCCTTGTCACCCTCCGGTGAGGTCTCGGTATTCGAACCCCGCGTACGAATACCGAGGCTCCCCTCAAATTTAAAAAGTGAGCAACTGGGTAAAACTGGAGTTTACAAAATGCTTGGAAAAAAACCCGACACTTGGGTCGGTGCCTTGAAAATTTAAGTGAGTTTCCAAAAGTCGCGGTGCGGGAGGCATACTGGAGGTGCGGTCTTCCCGTTCTTGCTCTAAGGACCGATTCCTTGGGAATTATATCCGAGCATATGTCAAGTACGACCACATGGGTGATATAGGACACCCCTGGCTGAGTAACTAGCAAGGCCAGGGAAATCTTGATGCCAA